TTTTGAATTTCTTGTGAAAGTTTCCCTTTTTCTATATTTTTTTTTTAAAAAAATAAAATAATTCCAAAATTTTTTAAATTTGCTGAATAAAGAAGAGCATTGCAAAAACGAGAAAATTGAGAAAATTCTTACAATAAGTGTTTTAGCCTTTAATTTGAACAGTTAAACAAATTAAAGTCCCAATATAAAGAATATCATTGCCCTTAGAATAAGATAATTAGATATTATCCACTTAAAATATGAAAATTTAGTGTGGTGTTTCCTTTTTATAACATAAATCATCTTAATCGATTAGCAAATTGTATTACTTAACTGCTCAATTTTAGGAAAAACAGACTTATTTAAAGAAAAAATGACTTAATTATCTTTCAAATTTTGCAGTGAGTCTTTGAAGCAGAGATTCTGTGGAGACGATAAGAAAAGTAAGCATCTTACCGTCAGTAGATAACTCCCCGTAATATTATAACAATGATTTAAAAACATTAAAATAATTTATGTAAATGCTAATATAGTCAGAGGTTAATCAATCTGATGACAAACCATTAAACTCTTATGTCAAAGATAAATCTTTCAAAAAAGCAGTGAAGGACACACAACTTATACAGGGAAGTAAACCAAATATATCCAGTCATTTACTGAATGTATATAAAAAAAAAACATGGACAGCTCTATAAATAAGATGTAAGATCTTTTACTGTAAATATTAATCCTGCTGGACATAAACTGGCAGTGTGATTAAAAGGAAGCATAAGCTAACAATTATTTTACGCCTTTTTTGAAAAGGAAACAAACTTTAAAGTCCAAATAAAGGCCTTAAATATGAAAAACGTTTCCAATACAGGTAGCTATAAGCAAACATGCAGACTGATTAATTTCAGTCTGTTCTATGTTTGGGTTGTTGAGGCTGAAATGAAGTCAAAAGCAAGTCAGGATATTGGTTTACAAGCGCACGAGGACTTGCTTTATAGTTTACTGTAATCTCGTGGAGGTCAGCAGCTTATCTCTATGGCCCGCAAAAGCAAAACAGCGACGTTCTTCATCAACTAATCTTTGGCCCTGTGGGTATTACTGTAGTAATTTGTTGGGGGTCGTTTCTGGAGGAAGAAGGAAGTAAATCCTCTTCATATT